TAAAGTATCTTTTTATCACAGAATAATATTATTTCCAGGCAAACTTTTACTTTTTTGTAATATAATACTTGGATTTTCGTAAAAAACTCATGATATATGAAATGTTCAGGATTAGAAAAAAATCGTTTTTTAATTTTTATTTATTTCTTAAAAATTTAACACAGCAAATAATTGTCTTTCGAACTTATCAAAAATTTTATACGAATTTTTTCAATTAAATTAAATTTTGCATGCTAATGTTAGCTCTTTTGGTTTATTCCAACAAAAATATTCGTACAGGGGTTTCAAAATATGCAATAACTTAGATAACAATAAATTTTTAAATGAATTATACTATGTAATTCCATACAAACAGAATTTTTCAATTCCACCCAATCTTGATTAAATGTACTAATAAGTTGATAAATTTATGTTCCATAAACAAGTTTTTTGTAAAGTATAATTTCGATTATACAACAATGGTAAACATTTTTTTTATCTTACGCATTCTATACAAGTTTTATCCAAAGTCGATGAGACTGAAAACTTTATTTTCACTCCCAATTGTAAGCAGCTGCATTTCCCATGTTCCTCAACAGATGACTCCTACATCTTTACACTACCGATTCAATCTACTGTCAGTACGGTTGCTCACCATCAGTTTTTCTGCCATCGTGCAATAAAGCAGTCGATACCAAGTGCATTGCTGCTGTACAATTTTAAACAAAAACAACAATGGCGGAGGGCTCGGAAACAATGTACTTTGATCTACGAACTGTTCACGATCACTTCAACCGATCACTCATCCAAGAAGATGACATAGACATCGAGGCCTACCTCGAGGCCTACAACGAGCTCTACAAGTAAGTCCTCGCTTTCCACTCTACACCTTGCGGATTATGATTTCATTGTCTTTGTCATCAGCGAACACTGGCTTTGTTTAGATTCTTTCAGCTGATGGGCAGCGTATTCAGTTTCGTCTCCTCAGATCTTAAGCAAAAAATCGAAATATTACAGGTCAGAGTGGCCGAGGACAGCGAAAACTATGTGACAATGAAAAAGATGATCGAATACGAGAAAGCTAGTAAACTGCTCGAGAGAAACGGCTTCGTAAATGGAGCAAGAACATTGCTTCGATTGCACCGTGGCCTTGGTACAAGCTTACACTTGACTCTTATGCATACTTCATTAGACTCGCGACTTTCGTGGGTAAAATTCAAGGAGCTAGACTCGTACAGTGTGAGTGACCTACTATTGATTTGCAGACTTTATTCTGGAATTTCTGAGGCAACTGGGCGAGCTCTCGAGTACTGACAACACCTCGGCTAGTTGTCAAGATGCTTACAATAAGACATTGGCCAAGCATCATTCGTGGATTGTTCGAAAGGCTGCTGTCTATGCTATGTATACTATGCCCACCAGAGAAACGTTGTTCAAGAGGGTAAGTACATTTATCTTTATTTGATTTGAAAATAAATTTACAAACGATGCTTACTTGGAAAATAAGTATCATTATATATAGTATCATGTATTTGAACGTAACTTTTATCTTCAATGCGAATACTTGGATCCATCCCTACGTTTGAATAACAAGATACTCATGATAAAATACGGGGTTTAGTGTAAAATGCGTATGATAAGGAAATGTAGACAAAATTGTTTCTAAAGTGGCACACTTTTTTTTAATATTTTCCATACTATCTCAGCCCTGACTATAGTTATTTAAATAAATCGGCTAATAATTATAATTTTCTATCACTCGTCACACACACAAAATTGAAAGTATTGAAAGTGTACCAACAATTTTTTCAAAGATATGATTCAATAAGATATTGATGAATTTTTTAATATTTACTAAAGCAAATGTTTTTAATCAAAGGTTTGCGGAGACGAAGTACAAAGGAATATCGACATACTGCCGAAAATGTTGGAAGTGACTGCCGACGTCATAACTAGGACTCAATCTGTTTTTGAAATACACGAACTCACCGGACTCCCTTAATTCAAAGAACTGCCGACTATTCCCACGAAATCGTATGTACGCAAAGATGCATTGTCAATTGTCGTAAGCGGTCAGAGAAGACCGGATGACAAAAACATTCCCCATACAAATTTATTGCATCATTTAGAATTGTGCATTTGCCTTCTGTACATTTACAATAATTAGTGCATAAGTAGCTAACTATTTACCTACGAGTATTAAAGAAAATGTATAGTCTTACTACTCATTCTTAATTGCGCACTCTGGCGATCGCAGGCGATTTGGCCGAATGTCATACCATTGAATTGTAGTTTATTATTAATTTATGTACGTCACTTATTTTGGTCTTATATTTTACTTTTAAAACTCGTAAAACTCTAAGTTTTATGATCTCTTAGTATTTTAAAAGTATACATGATATAGTTTACATATAGTTTCATCGTTGTTAAACTTGGGCTACGCAATGGAAGTGTTCTTTCTCTCATTAGATTATGATATTTTTGAATGTTGGTGCTTTGGAAGCTAGCACGTGACATTAGAGGCAAGGTTTTGGATACTACTTTACAAATTTAAGAACATTAAAATTCGATAAAAATTTCAATTTGTTGGTACAAAAATTTTTTTTTATATATGTAAATAAGATTTTTTAATGTTAACTGAATAAAAAATTTTCTTCGTGTTACATCATAAAATACAAAAAAAAAGTTTTTTTTATACCTTTAATAGCTCTCTGGAAGCTACAATTATGAGTGTTATCAATAGCGAATTTAACTATACATAATTTATACACAGAAAACAATATAACAACAATTTATTTATTCATTCAGTCTTATAAACATAAAATGTGGTATTGTAAATCCAAAGTTATTGATTACTTGTTAATGCTTAATGAAAATTTAACAAACACTGCTGTAAAGATTTCGAACGAAAGCTTCTAACTATTTTACATTATGGACAACAAGTTGATAGTGATATTTAATTAACCAAAAATATAGCTAAAAAATTTAATTCTAATTTATGATGCGATTTTTTATGGATAGTACAGAGTGATGTAAGGGATGAAAAGCATGCAAATATTATATTGAACTTTAAATTTTCCTGAAATATGAATTGTTAAAATAGTTACACAAAATTAAAAAAAAGTTTTTTGATAACATTTGCTGTACAAACTTATTATGATACTTTAAGTAATGTGGAACTTTATGTCTTACTAATATTATCCTTACCATGCAGAGGTAAGAATGAAAGAAAAGTTAATTAATTTCATAACATTCTTTTTTACTAAGTAACGATTTAGACAGGCTCGTAAAATCTTTCATCCATAAGTACTCCTGAAACCGAAATTTCTGTCATAAACAAAATCATTCAAAATATTGTGAAAAACATTACTGACATCAATGTTCAACGAACCTGCAATACAAGCTGTGAGAAAACAGACCATACTCCCGGCTACAAAAGCTCTGATGGCTGAATTAGCGATTTGCTCGCGCTTTTCAGGAGCCATTGTAGCCAAACCACCGATCATAATACCGATCGAGCCTGGATTCGAGAAGCCACAAATAGCGAAGGTAGCAATAGCTTCGGTTCTTCGACTTAGTCTATTAGCATTTTTAAATTCCCCCAACTTTTCGTAAGCAACGAACTCGTTCACTACAGTTTTAAGGCCTATGAGCATACCAACGTCTTCGCACTCGTCCCAAGGCACTCCCATCAACCAGCTTAGTGGCATAAATGCTTTCGATAGCAGCCACTTGTTTCAATAAAAAAAAGATAATTTTACACTCCTTGTCACAATGAAATGTGTGTGCATGATAAAAAATTAATTTGTTACCTCAAAAGTTATGTAGTCATATCCAACGAGGGAACCCAGCCAGGATAGAATGGTATTAAGAAAAGCGACCGCGGAAACAAAAGCAACGATATTTGCTATAATACCCAAAATAAGCGGAATTCAAGCCAAGGCGCCCTTAGTCGCTGCATCGAGGACGCTACTATCTTGTCTGTAATTAAATTTGATCACTGTTACAATAACAAATTTTGTAACTATATTTGAGCAAAAAAAAAAAAATTAATAAATAAATGTGTTGTGCTTACGATTTTTCGAGCTTTATATTCTTAAAGGTTGTTACACTTTTCTCAGTCTCGGGATAGAATAATTTTGAAAAACAAAGTGCAGCCGGTGCCGCCATTACCGAGGCTGTGATTAAATGTGCTGGATCAGCCCCGTAATTTATATAAGCGGCCAAAACCGTTCCTGAAGCATAATTATAATTATTTATCATTTATAAGTAAAGATACATTTTCATTCAATAAATAGGTATACTATACCGGATACAGTAGCAAATCCAGAACACATTATAGCATGAAGTTCTGAATTCGTTAGTTGATTTATGTACGGCTTAATCAGAAGAGGAGACTCAGTCTGTGAATATCTCAACAGATGACTCCTACATCTTTACACTACCGATTCAATCTACTGTCAGTACGGTTGTTATTGTTATTTTGCAACATTAAGAGAAAAAAATAATATAAATAATAGAGAAATTCCAGCAAAAATTAACATGTCCAGTTTAAATAATTGTTTGAGTTTTTAGAATTATGGTTGGTTGTATAGAACAGTAAAAATTACCAAACTGCAACAGTAAACCTTAAAAGGATCAGTTGATAAATTTTACTTTCTTGCATTGAAATTTTTACTGTTCTAACCATAATTTTTACGTTTCGAACCATAATTTTTACTTTTGTGTATTATTACAATATAAATAATAAAAATGATTAAAAAAAAAAACAGATAAATATTAATGATAATGATAAAAATAATAGAATAAAAATAAAAAAATGTCCGCCTTCAGGTAAAATTGTCGATTTCGCGGGTTGGCTATTGCCGGTGCAGTACCGCGAGGCGATCGCTGCGTCTCACCAGCACACGCGCACTTACGCGTCGCTTTTCGACGTTGGCCACATGCTACAGACGCGCATAAACGGTAGGCACGCCGGGGAACTTCTCGAGTCGCTGACCACAGCCGACCTTCAGGCCTTGACCCCAGGCTCGGCTAGCCTCACGATTTTCACCAACGACCATGGTGGCATCCTCGACGACCTCATAATCACCAAAGATGATTCCGAGAGATTTTTCGTTGTTTCGAACGCTGGCAGGCGGAACGAGGACATGGAGCTCATGCAGCGGAGGCAGGCGCGTGATTTTGTTTTTTCTTAACTGATAAGTTGAATAAGTTAATTTTCACTCTCAATCATTCCCGATTGGTCTTTGGGAAGCAGCAGTAATTTATTCAATTCTCTAAAAACATGAATGCGTTGCATGAAATTCTGACTTTGCGTTGTATCTCCAGAGCGAGATGACATCTCAGGGCAAGGATGTGAGCTTGGAATTTTTGGACCCTCTGGAGCAGGGGCTGATCGCTCTGCAAGGGCCAAGAGCCGCAAAAGCCCTGCAGTCATTGGTATCGATAGATTTGACAGCCCTGAAGTTCATGAAATGCGTTGAAGCTCAATTAGACCAGAGGAAGGTGAGGATATCGAGGTGCGGCTACACTGGCGAGGACGGCTTCGAGATCTCCGTGCCTGGAGCTCACGCGAGGACGATTGCCGAGTTGATCATGTCGAGGCCCGATGTCAAACTCGCCGGTCTTGGCGCAAGGGACAGTTTGAGGTAGAGTACACTTTTTAGCAATTCGATACCGATACTATCGAAGTGAAATAAAAGGCAGATCGTTTTTACAGGCTAGAGGCTGGACTCTGCCTTTACGGGCACGACATAAACGAGAATACGACGCCGGTTGAGGCTTCCCTGTTGTGGCTAGTTGGTAAGTTTATTAATCATATATATGTATATGCATTTTGTATGTAAAGTTACAACCATTAACAATATAATTACAGTTATCGGTAAACTAAAATAATATTCCAGCAAAACGCAGACGAGCAGAAGCCAATTTCCCGGGAGCTGAACGCATACTCGAGCAGATAAGGACTGGTTCCACAAAAAAGCGGGTGGGTCTGAGTCTAGATAAGGGCCCGCCAGCTCGAGAGGGTGCTGCCATACTCACGACAGTTGGTGAGCGCATGGGTAAAGTGACGTCCGGTGGACCGAGTCCAACGCTGGGCAAGCCTATCGCCATGGGTTACGTGCCGACTGAGCTCGCCAAAACCGGTACTGGAGTACTGATTGAAATCAGGGGGAAGACTTACAAGGCTGTTGTCACCAAAATGCCCTTCGTCAAGGTGAACTACTTCACTGGCAATTAAGACTTTGAAACAATTTAAGGTTTTCGTATAACCGACATATCATTATGTGCACATATTTTGCAGTTGTACAAGATTTTTGTAACGAATCCTAAAAGCTAGTTTTGAATAAAACCATGAAAATATTCAAGTGCTTGTTATTTTTGTGAATAAAAATTATTTGGTTACGCCTCGTTATTCGAGTTTGCACAAGGGCAACATCAAGTTGTAATTCGACAATCACCGAATAATATTGAATCATATAGAGAGAAAGAGAGAATGCACTCATCTTCTAACATAGACTTAATATGGTGGATGAGAACACTCTTACAATTACTCATAACTTTTTTCAACCTAATTTTATAAGTATGCAAAAGGTCAACGATCTCCTTTAGACGAATTTGTTTGCAATTTTACTAATTCAAAATTTGTTTTTCATACGATAATTTAACTATGAATAAATTCTTGTATTTAGATAAGAACCAACTAAAATGTTATTACAGATATTACGAAGCGTGAAAAGTAATGCACACAGTATAAATAAATATAAAAAAACTTTTATCGCAATTTGTCACAAGAGTTAAAGTACAAAAAAAAAACGTATTGAAATATCAATACAGGTAAGAGCTGTTTAAAACTTATTTCTTGTAATGAATGCATATCATTAAATTTTAAAAATGATAGCTACAAAGAGGTGGTACAGTTATTTCATGTGTGTTCGGGACTCGTATGAAAACAATTAATTTTTTAAGTATCCTGCAGATATATTTTCCAATATCTTGTTATTGATTACTGGTTTTTTTTACACACTGGGACATATTAAGTTTTTTTATAATCTGACAGGAATCAGAAATGTGACAAATACGTTGTATCAAACATAAAATTTTATTGTTCTTATTATTTTTTTTTAAATTAAATAATCTCGTTTAAAGTATCTGTNTTACATTATTATTACAATTATTATTTTCGTGGTACAATAAAGATTTAATAAGAGTACAACAAGTTTCGTGCTTGACCTCAATTTTTTATTTTATTTTTATCAGCAGCTGTCGATCCAGTGCATCGGCAAAAGTCATCGTACACTACTACAGTGCAGCTCAATTTACTCAATTTTGGCTTATCATGACTTGTTGTCAGTCTTTTTTTTTACTTTCTCTTACCAGCTCATTCATTAATAGTTTATTCATCAAAGTTTGTGCCCAATATTAAAAGGTAAGTAAAAAAGTATCGACAAAAAGCAAAACAAATTTTAAACATAAACATTAATTACTTTTATGACTTACAAAATCAGAATATTATACAAAAATTATTTGGATGCTAAAAAATATTATTTGGATGTAAGTATTTTTGTACAATACAATTGCTGAGCAATTCCAGAAAACTTCATGGCCGGCGGTAGGTCTCGATAAAAGAAGAGACCGATGATAACAGCCTTCAACAAGTAAGAGCACGCTTTTAGAGTACATACAAGTTCTGAGAAGGAACCACGTGTGGCTCCTTGCAGTTTTGTGACTGATATCAAGCGAGTAAGATGTGGAATATTTCATTTAATCAAATATGAAGCTCAAACTAACAAAACGCACATACACACAAAAATAATACTTTAACGGTTCCGCTCCTGCAATGAATCGATCCGGCGATTCCAAACACAGTGTAAATAATCGCAGTCACAGCTCCCATAGTAAAATTAAAGATCACGCGTCGCGTGGAGCTGCTGGTCAGGCGGCACAGCTGATTAAGTGATACACACGCACACTACCGCTATAAGAAAGACTTACAGCGAAGCGTCTGTGCGCGAGAGCGTGTACAAGTTATACGCGCGCGCTGAGGCCGTAAAATTCAGTCTTCGGTAGCTGAAGAGAGGCATGGCACCACCGGCCGGTGTTGGATGCCTTAGGAGTCTCCTGAGGACCGGCAGGACGCCGAAAAGGCTGCTCTCCACTGTGGTAGCTGAACCGCGGAAAACCTGTTTGTACGATCTGCACGTGGATAACAATGGTAAACATTTTTTTTTCTGTTAAATTTAAAATATTTGTTGCAATCATAATTATAATAATTTCAATATGCAACGTAAGTAATGTTTTGTTATTTATCAAAATTTCGGTTTTATTTTTTACTTAATTATGATAATACAGAACAAATTCTCGTGAGTCATGTTTATGTACATTTATGTATATTATATTGCAATCAAGGCCACAGCACCATCAGCGAATGCCCCGTTTGAATAAAAATTATTCATAAGTTATGTTTATCGTTACTCAATGCCTTGGATAATCATACTCATAATAAATAAGCAAGCTTACAATCTTCGACGATGCCCCCCCGTGTTTCAAGTTTACGCACACACCATTTTTAAAATTTTTTATTATTATTTTTTTTTAATTTCTCACTGTGACGCAAAAATATGCGATAAGTTAAGAAGTTATGATTACACAATGTAATGAGATAAAACTATATGTATTATATATATATGTATACACAATCATTTTACATAGCTATTTATAACTACGTGATGTACGCACGGAAAGGCCTTTGACTCGAGACTCTGCCGTGCAAAACAAAAATAAAAAATATATACATAGGTATGTACAGGAGCTACGCAGTTACGGTGAACTTCGTCCTTTCTCCAAAGATTTTTTTTTTTCGGCCAGACTCGCTTTTGAAATACAAGCAAAATTAGCGCGTATGAATGTGTAAAAATAAAAGTCAACGTCTCGGTGTAACGAGAAAAGGACAAGCCAGATTTTCGTAATTACGTCAGCTTCTCGCGTTTCGAGTCGAGGAATTTGCATGCGAATCACGAAAAAAAAAAAAAAAAAAAAAAAAAAAAATATTGTTCCGAAGAAAAGCAGAAAAAAGGGACGCAGCGTAACTATCTTTCTCGGTGCATTCTTCGATGCGAAGAATTTCGATTGTTTTTTATGTGTAAAAAATTAACAATTATACGGTGAAAAAAAAAAATAATAAAAACAAAAAGAAACAAATTTAATAAGAGCGCGTTAAAACGCACTCCCTTGTAATAAATAAATAAATAATAATAACGCGATGCTGGAAGCCAAGATGACACGATGAGATACGAGAGACAAAGAAAAAAAGTAATTTTATCCTTGCGTTCTTTATTACATACATACAATCCAGATTGTTATTGATATTTGGAAAGAAAGACCGGAAGTTGAACAAAAAATCTTTGTATAGAAAAAAAACACGTGATCCATATTTTTCACATCGTTCCCTCTTTGAAAAAAAGTGTTTGTACTTCCAAAACAGAGCGCGTGACTCGATGCAGCCACGAATTTAAGCTACAGAGGACGACTATTGGTTCAAACATACTATACCTATACAGTGCTATCGAATTGCATCTTCAGAACACGACTCGCCAGTCCACCAGTTCGGCTGGAAAACCAAGAGACGCGAGTCCTGCTCTGAAGATGATCGAACAGAGTTGCAATGACACCTAAATGCGCGCAAAAGCTATTCAAAGTTTCAAGTAGCATCGACATCCCCGTCGCGAATAAGCAACTACCGTCCGATGGTCGCCGTCGCTCTTGCGTCACGCGCTCGACCACCAAATCAACAATGTGTATGTAAACGGGGCGGAAGGAAAAAAGTCCCAGTTCAAGAGAAGGGACTGAGTTTCCCTCCCGCCCACGTACCTCACGATTTTTTGTTAAAAAGCCGCGGCGAAAAACTAAAGTATGAAATCCAGAGGTCTTTTCTTACTACCCCCCTCCCCAACCCTTCTTGATCCACTCTTTGTCCTGACGTCTTGTGTGTGCGCGTGTGCACGAGAACGATCTGAGAATCCGAGCAATCCCATTCCAATCGACCGCATTTCTCTTTGTGCGTTTTTTTTTCCAGAACACGTGACTTTACTTTTCTACCGACGTATCCTCCCCCGCAAAACCCTCATGTCTCGCGTTCCTCTCCCCCAGTGACAAATCCCCTGCCTCCGCATCCTAATTCCCTACCAGTGTGAATGAATGTTGAAATGAAAAAGGTAAAATAAAATACAAAAATAAATATTGTGTAAAAGGGAAGCATCGAGCAAAGAACGACTAAAGCACATATTCGTCGAACCGTAGGGACATTTTGCATTAATTGTGTAAACACGAGAACTTAAGGGAAAAAAAATAAAAAATAAAAAAAAAACAGAAGCGAAAACTAACAAAAAAATAACAAAAAATAACCCGCTGTGTCAACGTGTCTTTTATTCACTCTTCATTATTACTATTATTATTTATATTATTATTCAAACCTCAGTCGTAGCCCATGTTTTGCCCCATGCGCACTGCAACCGGTCCACCACCTAGCCGCAAGAGAGGGGCACAGATGGGTACGCAAAGCTACCACTGACTGATACAATGCGACACCTACATGACATGTAAGAATTTTGATTTCATTCTGAATAAATTATAATTTAATTCTTGGTAACCTGAAAAATCCCTGTTACACTAAGAAATTCATTTATAACTTGAATGAATACGTTGAATTTATACGTTGAATTAAAGTAAAATCGTATTTCCAGAACGTTGAGAGTTTATAGGTAAATGAAAATCGATATAGTTTAATGATTGTCAGTTTAACTGGTACTATATCAATAATCGTGTTAGGGCCCATAGGCATTAGCTCTGTGCACAAAAACCTCCAGCGCCAACTTGTGGCTGAATGGTGAGTCCGCATGGTTACGAGAATACATGGAGTAGCATGGTTACCTAAAGTTAATAATTTTTTTCATTAATATCAAGATCCTTTCTTATAGTCTGATCATCTTAATAAAAATCCCTAACTCCTTAACTAAACGATGATATTNAATTTTTTCAATTAAATTAAATTTTGCATGCTAATGTTAGCTCTTTTGGTTTATTCCAACAAAAATATTCGTACAGGGGTTTCAAAATATGCAATAACTTAGATAACAATAAATTTTTAAATGAATTATACTATGTAATTCCATACAAACAGAATTTTTCAATTCCACCCAATCTTGATTAAATGTACTAATAAGTTGATAAATTTATGTTCCATAAACAAGTTTTTTGTAAAGTATAATTTCGATTATACAACAATGGTAAACATTTTTTTTATCTTACGCATTCTATACAAGTTTTATCCAAAGTCGATGAGACTGAAAACTTTATTTTCACTCCCAATTGTAAGCAGCTGCATTTCCCATGTTCCTCAACAGATGACTCCTACATCTTTACACTACCGATTCAATCTACTGTCAGTACGGTTGCTCACCATCAGTTTTTCTGCCATCGTGCAATAAAGCAGTCGATACCAAGTGCATTGCTGCTGTACAATTTTAAACAAAAACAACAATGGCGGAGGGCTCGGAAACAATGTACTTTGATCTACGAACTGTTCACGATCACTTCAACCGATCACTCATCCAAGAAGATGACATAGACATCGAGGCCTACCTCGAGGCCTACAACGAGCTCTACAAGTAAGTCCTCGCTTTCCACTCTACACCTTGCGGATTATGATTTCATTGTCTTTGTCATCAGCGAACACTGGCTTTGTTTAGATTCTTTCAGCTGATGGGCAGCGTATTCAGTTTCGTCTCCTCAGATCTTAAGCAAAAAATCGAAATATTACAGGTCAGAGTGGCCGAGGACAGCGAAAACTATGTGACAATGAAAAAGATGATCGAATACGAGAAAGCTAGTAAACTGCTCGAGAGAAACGGCTTCGTAAATGGAGCAAGAACATTGCTTCGATTGCACCGTGGCCTTGGTACAAGCTTACACTTGACTCTTATGCATACTTCATTAGACTCGCGACTTTCGTGGGTAAAATTCAAGGAGCTAGACTCGTACAGTGTGAGTGACCTACTATTGATTTGCAGACTTTATTCTGGAATTTCTGAGGCAACTGGGCGAGCTCTCGAGTACTGACAACACCTCGGCTAGTTGTCAAGATGCTTACAATAAGACATTGGCCAAGCATCATTCGTGGATTGTTCGAAAGGCTGCTGTCTATGCTATGTATACTATGCCCACCAGAGAAACGTTGTTCAAGAGGGTAAGTACATTTATCTTTATTTGATTTGAAAATAAATTTACAAACGATGCTTACTTGGAAAATAAGTATCATTATATATAGTATCATGTATTTGAACGTAACTTTTATCTTCAATGCGAATACTTGGATCCATCCCTACGTTTGAATAACAAGATACTCATGATAAAATACGGGGTTTAGTGTAAAATGCGTATGATAAGGAAATGTAGACAAAATTGTTTCTAAAGTGGCACACTTTTTTTTAATATTTTCCATACTATCTCAGCCCTGACTATAGTTATTTAAATAAATCGGCTAATAATTATAATTTTCTATCACTCGTCACACACACAAAATTGAAAGTATTGAAAGTGTACCAACAATTTTTTCAAAGATATGATTCAATAAGATATTGATGAATTTTTTAATATTTACTAAAGCAAATGTTTTTAATCAAAGGTTTGCGGAGACGAAGTACAAAGGAATATCGACATACTGCCGAAAATGTTGGAAGTGACTGCCGACGTCATAACTAGGACTCAATCTGTTTTTGAAATACACGAACTCACCGGACTCCCTTAATTCAAAGAACTGCCGACTATTCCCACGAAATCGTATGTACGCAAAGATGCATTGTCAATTGTCGTAAGCGGTCAGAGAAGACCGGATGACAAAAACATTCCCCATACAAATTTATTGCATCATTTAGAATTGTGCATTTGCCTTCTGTACATTTACAATAATTAGTGCATAAGTAGCTAACTATTTACCTACGAGTATTAAAGAAAATGTATAGTCTTACTACTCATTCTTAATTGCGCACTCTGGCGATCGCAGGCGATTTGGCCGAATGTCATACCATTGAATTGTAGTTTATTATTAATTTATGTACGTCACTTATTTTGGTCTTATATTTTACTTTTAAAACTCGTAAAACTCTAAGTTTTATGATCTCTTAGTATTTTAAAAGTATACATGATATAGTTTACATATAGTTTCATCGTTGTTAAACTTGGGCTACGCAATGGAAGTGTTCTTTCTCTCATTAGATTATGATATTTTTGAATGTTGGTGCTTTGGAAGCTAGCACGTGACATTAGAGGCAAGGTTTTGGATACTACTTTACAAATTTAAGAACATTAAAATTCGATAAAAATTTCAATTTGTTGGTACAAAAATTTTTTTTTATATATGTAAATAAGATTTTTTAATGTTAACTGAATAAAAAATTTTCTTCGTGTTACATCATAAAATACAAAAAAAAAGTTTTTTTTATACCTTTAATAGCTCTCTGGAAGCTACAATTATGAGTGTTATCAATAGCGAATTTAACTATACATAATTTATACACAGAAAACAATATAACAACAATTTATTTATTCATTCAGTCTTATAAACATAAAATGTGGTATTGTAAATCCAAAGTTATTGATTACTTGTTAATGCTTAATGAAAATTTAACAAACACTGCTGTAAAGATTTCGAACGAAAGCTTCTAACTATTTTACATTATGGACAACAAGTTGATAGTGATATTTAATTAACCAAAAATATAGCTAAAAAATTTAATTCTAATTTATGATGCGATTTTTTATGGATAGTACAGAGTGATGTAAGGGATGAAAAGCATGCAAATATTATATTGAACTTTAAATTTTCCTGAAATATGAATTGTTAAAATAGTTACACAAAATTAAAAAAAAGTTTTTTGATAACATTTGCTGTACAAACTTATTATGATACTTTAAGTAATGTGGAACTTTATGTCTTACTAATATTATCCTTACCATGCAGAGGTAAGAATGAAAGAAAAGTTAATTAATTTCATAACATTCTTTTTTACTAAGTAACGATTTAGACAGGCTCGTAAAATCTTTCATCCATAAGTACTCCTGAAACCGAAATTTCTGTCATAAACAAAATCATTCAAAATATTGTGAAAAACATTACTGACATCAATGTTCAACGAACCTGCAATACAAGCTGTGAGAAAACAGACCATACTCCCGGCTACAAAAGCTCTGATGGCTGAATTAGCGATTTGCTCGCGCTTTTCAGGAGCCATTGTAGCCAAACCACCGATCATAATACCGATCGAGCCTGGATTCGAGAAGCCACAAATAGCGAAGGTAGCAATAGCTTCGGTTCTTCGACTTAGTCTATTAGCATTTTTAAATTCCCCCAACTTTTCGTAAGCAACGAACTCGTTCACTACAGTTTTAAGGCCTATGAGCATACCAACGTCTTCGCACTCGTCCCAAGGCACTCCCATCAACCAGCTTAGTGGCATAAATGCTTTCGATAGCAGCCACTTGTTTCAATAAAAAAAAGATAATTTTACACTCCTTGTCACAATGAAATGTGTGTGCATGATAAAAAATTAATTTGTTACCTCAAAAGTTATGTAGTCATATCCAACGAGGGAACCCAGCCAGGATAGAATGGTATTAAGAAAAGCGACCGCGGAAACAAAAGCAACGATATTTGCTATAATACCCAAAATAAGCGGAATTCCAGCCAAGGCGCCCTTAGTCGCTGCATCGAGGACGCTACTATCTTGTCTGTAATTAAATTTGATCACTGTTACAATAACAAATTTTGTAACTATATTTGAGCAAAAAAAAAAAAATTAATAAATAAATGTGTTGTGCTTACGATTTTTCGAGCTTTATATTCTTAAAGGTTGTTACACTTTTCTCAGTCTCGGGATAGAATAATTTTGAAAAACAAAGTGCAGCCGGTGCCGCCATTACCGAGGCTGTGATTAAATGTGCTGGATCAGCCCCGTAATTTATATAAGCGGCCAAAACCGTTCCTGAAGCATAATTATAATTATTTATCATTTATAAGTAAAGATACATTTTCATTCAATAAATAGGTATACTATACCGGATACAGTAGCAAATCCAGAACACATTATAGCATGAAGTTCTGAATTCGTTAGTTGATTTATGTACGGCTTAATCAGAAGAGGAGACTCAGTCTGTGAATATATTCAAGGTTTAGTTTTTAATTACATTAAAAATAAATAATATTTTTGACATTCTGTGTGAAGCTCATCTTCTCGTGTTTGCAAATAATATGCGTAATTACACTAATAAATAAAACAATCATCGAAGATGAAATGGTAACACAGTGTAAGAAAATCTTATAGTACTTATGCAGGCAGAGATTCTGCCAGTCTCTCCACTCATACGACAATATTTTTATTCATGCAAGAATCATCAGTTTCTTGTTGCATAGTTTTTTTATATTTACGTACCATTCCTATAAATGTATTAGCTGCTGCATTAATGGACTCGCAAACCGTAGTCCCCATGATAACGTGGAGAAACCATCCGATATTTTTTATAACGGCTTGCATAACTCCCCAATAATACAATATTTGTATCATAAAACTGAAGAAAAATATTACTGGAAGTGCCTGTTTTAGGTAATATATAATTGTAAATGTTAATGATGGATTTTTTAACATGACATTGTAAGATATTGTTAGTATTTTTATAGAAAAGCCTCGTATATTTACGGAAAATGCAAACACTCCATTGTTGACAATCTCTGGGGAGAATACGAATTTGGCACCTTCTCTTGCGAAGTTTAAGAAGATAGCTACTTTATTTGAAATACACGTAAAAATTTCTCGACCAACCGACCATCTGATGGTAAACAGACCAAAAGCGAATTGAAGTATCAAACCCCATATTACTGGTCTCCAATTTACCTGAAAAAATTTGAATTAAAAAAAATTTACTGTACAAAATTTTAGGTAACAAACAAATTGTCTTTATCTACAATCACTCCAAATCAAAAATATCTAGTTGTTATAATTAAATGATTTTTAAGAAAAGTAATGAGTATACCTTCGTTGGATGTTTAGAAAAGATCCAACCAAACGCTAAAATAGCGGCCACACCGGCAAAGCTTATTAATCTATTTCTAGAATCGGCAGTGTCAAAGGCAAGAAAAATAATTGTTGCAGCAAGTATTATTAAAGAAAAAAACACCTTTGTAGACAAGCAAATGCGTCTGAAAAGAAACATTTAGTGACTCACAACATTTTATTTCTTTTTCATTGAGCAATGACTATTTACCTTTTTTGACCAATCCTACGAATGCCCAAAGTACAAGGCAATAAGCATTTTGAAATTGATTCGCTGAAAAATTTCTTGATAATTTTGTAATAGACAATTCTAAGGTACGCAAATCCAACGAGCAATACGAGCATTCCGTATCCGTCGCACCATTGCAAGTTATTATCAACCGCTAAAAATAAACACAGACAATTTTATACTTATAATTAAAAAAAAACTCTGACACTTATTTTAAATGCAGATTTATCAAAATAACACCTACAATTTTTATACCAATAAAGACTTGCAAATACGAAGTACGTTATGACAAGGAGATTCACAGTTGCGAGAAGCAAGTATTTAAAACAATTTTCGTTTCTTGATAGAAATGAGCGTAGACAATCCGAGCCACCGTCTGTTGAATTTTTTTCCTGAAAAATATATTACAATAACACTAAAAAATTCTGTGTTGGATAACGGAACATTTTAATAAGTTGTATTTATTATTTCATTTGGTCAAATGAAAAATACCATTTTGATAGTATCGTGAAGATGGTATGATTAAGCAATTAGATAACTTACCGCTTCTTTTGATGACAACTCAGATTCAACGGAATCTTCATCCTAAAAGATAAATGTTAGTTTAAAATTGTGTGATTTAATAAATTGTATACTGAAGCCCTCGGTAGCTGTTTATCAATTTAAAGATAAATCAAATTGCTACTTAAATAACTTTAATTGTATATTAAAACTTATTTAAGGGACAGATTTATTAATTACAATAGTACACAAAATTCCATGACCTGACTTAACTTTTGTCAAAATCAAGTATTATCTTAGCATTACTTCTAAAAATATAAAAAATGAGTAATTTTATCTCAGTTTATCATAATTTAGTCACAAATAAGAGTAGGTGAGAACTATAACCTCTTAATTTTAAGGAAAAAAGTTTTTTTGATAAAACTTTTAGCGATGAAATTATTTCTCGATATGAAAAAAAGTTTTCTTATAAATCTAGCGTTCATTCGTGTGAAAATAAGCTGATTAGAGCACTTTGTGGAGTCACATGTTATCATAAATGTACATACTAGCCCACGTTAACGATAGATAAAGTAACGTTAGTTTCAAGTAAGAGCCACGTGCAATTTCATTAAAAGGACTATTTTTACAAGTTATATACATCGACATAAAATTTTGAAAAACTATTTGATGTATCAATAAGTAACGAAAACTTTTTAAGAACTCTGTTTGCAAGTTTTTACTTTCAAAGTTACCAAAAAACTTTGAAAATTTATTCCACTGCAGAATACTACTTTGAAAGATTATGGTTTTACCCAATTCTTTAGGTTAGTTGAGGAAAAATTGTTGAAAAATGCAAGTTTTAATAAACATAAAAAATGTATTAAATCATTGGATAGTTACCTGAAGCTTAATCGAAATATTTAAGCTATGCGAACTGATTTTTCTTCCTACCTATAAATATTAATGATATTAAATTAAATATAAATTTAGTAACTTTCTCATAATAATGTATTGCTACTATTAAAATCATCAATGTCTTGAAATTACAACTGTTTATTTATTAAAATGATTTGTGCTCTTATTGATTTATTCCTTATATCTTCTTTACGAGACAAAAACCAATATAATCAATTGAAGTGCTTAACTAAAACAATCAGTAGAAGTTGATGTACATTACGTGACATCAATGTTTGATTCCATCTTAATAAAAAAACATGATCTACGTAAAATATTTTATGACAAAGGTACGAGCTAGATAATAAATAATTATAAACAAGGTTGTCACTAACACTTTTTTTAAAAGTTTTATTATAAAGAACTATTACGGATACGTTGTTGTAAAATTAAAAAAGAAAACTGTTTCTCATATGTATAAAACTTCTTAGTTCTTCGAGTCTTTTAAGCATTGATAAAGTAGATTGTTTTTTGAAATGGTATATAAAGTCCTTAAAAAATAATCTAATATTATAGAAAGAAAAACTTACATCAGTGAAGGCCTGGGCACCTACACCATTAGACATAATTCCTTTTGAATAGTCGTTACTTTCAAAGACAACGTAAAAAAGTTCCTGTACGTAGTTAAGTTTCCAATTGGCAGTTGTTTCGACTGTCTGTGGAACGTAAATGCGGAGTGTTGCTTTAGCTTCACCATACGTCACAGATAGCCAAGATAACAACACGAGACTCGGACACGACGCGCGCGCACGCAAAATTACTGGCGCTCGTCGATTACTCGCACTGTGGCGCATACACGTTTTTATTCAAGCCGTGTAAATACAAATACAAGTTATTGCAATACGCAGCGAATATGTTATGTAATTTTTTTCAAGCTGTATAGGTACGGTTTTCCATGAGACTACTGTAAAACGAAGATACATTTGGATTTTTGTATGATAGCAGTATAGGAAACATGATAGTAATTTTAGACTTGAAATTTGGTACGGACTCTTAGTTTGAGTTTACATCTTTATAGTTTAATACATGCTCATACATTCACAAAAACCCATAGAAGTGTGTGCAACAATTAATAATCTAATAAATGCTTGACGGCTACAATGGCATTATTGGAATCGCAATTTGTTGAGTAAGCTTCGGTCTAATGCATCAACTAATGGGGTATTTGTCTCGGGACAGAGTTTTGAGTCTCGACCATTCGCTAGATCCGGCATAGATCATGCAGGACCCATCCAAGTTCGAATCGCCAACGGTTGGGGAAACCGATCTTTTATCCATAGTACTATATTTCCGGGTGCTAACAGTGAACTCAAGGCAATTTTTGATAAGGCTTTTGAATCCTATGATGAGACTGCTGAATTGTTAGCAAACGATGGTACTGATCGGAACTTCATCCCTCCGAATTTGCCTCACTATGGGGGCTTGTGGGAAGCCGGAGTAAAATCGGTAGAATATCATTAAAAACGAGTGATTGGAGAACATAGACTGACTTTTGAGAAACTGTATACAGTGTTAGTAAAAATCAACGCCTGACTAAATTCACGTCCACTTACTTCCTTCAAGGCAATTTCGAGTAAGCACTTTTTTCAAGGCAATTTTAAGCTATCGTTTTCTTTGACCAAGGCATTGTTATCACGTTTTGGCGGGTTTCAAATAAATTTTGTCTTGTTTTTGAAATCCAAAAAAATATCGCATTTTGAGTTGCAAAACGGCTTACGTCATTTTTAAGAAGGAATTACATATTACTTTAGGGTTTGAAAAGGTTAAAAAAGATTTACGTAGTTACAAATTTATGAGGTTTTATGTTCATAATTATAATATCACAAAATTAAAAGAAATTTTTTTCATCAGTGATAATTTCAAAAGTTATAAATCTAATGTTAAAGTATCTTTAGAGTATAATTTTTCTTTTTTTTTCCTACGTTTTTCCGCTTCCAAAAAATATACACCAATGCCAAGCATACTACAAAACTAGTAATAATTCCATTGCATGAAACTTTTTTTATTTTTCGAAGTAGATTGAAAGAATTTCAAATGTGATATGATATTATTTTGTAATTTTATTTTTTCTTTCCTTTCATTGTTATCTTCTTTCATTGCCTTTCTGACTTTAAAATATCTATGTATTTCGATAACGCTAAACTTATTATTATAAACCTATTTCATACAATTATTTTAGTAATATTCCTTCAGCTGATTATTGCACATTTTTGTACACTTTATTGAAGCCGTTCGCTTGTGACGTCGTAAGCTATATGGTTATCGTAAAATTAATTACTACCTAGTAATTGAAACTTTTGGAATATTCTTACGTAATGACGTATAATTCTTGATCATACGCACTGTATTCTCAAACACCTAGAAAATGAATTTTAAATTCATGAAGCAATAGTATATTATAATACTTAATTTTACTCCAGTATTTAGCAACTAAAGTATCCATTTAACGCTTTTTAAGCTCTCAGAAATATTACTTATAGTAAAGTATGTGTTGTCGTTACCACCGTACCTCCATAATTTATTTTTAAAAATTTTCTTCTCGATGGAAAGTATGGGATTTTTGCATAAAGGAAACTTTGAAAAGTAAATAAACTATATCATTTATTAGTATGCTTTTTATTTTTATAGTATATACACATGACAATGACATTCACAACGTAAATAATCATAAGAGTAATACATTGTATCTGAAAGATAGGCGACAATATAGCCCATGATCTCATGTATAATAAGAACAGCATGATTAATCACGTTTACTTACTAATTCGAGTTGAAATTTCCACGAGTATCATTAGTGCTAATATAATTTTGTAATCGCTACGCACCATTCGAACGAAAGTTTTAAGATATTAATTTTTTAATTTAACAATGACGCACTCCCTTTGAAAACCTCAAAACCATAAATATCACAAAAGGTGTGAGTCCTTTCAGATCTTTTTATCTCAAAAATAAGTGGAGACCCGTTTAAAGTTTGAATAAAACTTTTCGGACTATCAAATGATTATGGTGGCAACATATCAACAATTCTAGAAATAATGAGCTTAAATGATTATTTTATCACAAAAATTGTGTACTTTTTTAAGTCAAAGATTTAATACTATTAAAATTCGCTCAGAAACATGTAATTACGATGGTCGCTACAAAAGCGACTATGAGTAACATGCTAAATGGTAGAGTGGTTAGCCCAAGTTTCTAATATCGCGTGCTGAAACTACGCTTTTTAACCCGAATAAAAATTTCAGGGTATTTAGTTATGCCTTAAATAATTTATTTAATATAACGTGCAAGGAAACGCCCAGTTACACGTTTAATATTTTATTTTATTTTTTTTTTTTTTTGAAAGAGTTAAGAGTCATTAAGATAGCTTAGCAAGATATGAGTTCAACGAACAATTAATAAAATCAGCAATAACCTTTTTATCCGTATAAATCAATTCGTACCCAATAGAATTTTGTTAGATAATACTAATATTTACCAGAATGTAACGAGCAATCATACCTATCCATATTTTTTTTTTCATGCTTTATGGATACGATGTAAGTATATTTTTGGGAATATCAAAATAAGTAACAAAAATAATAAACGTAATTTATAGTAAAACTATGACGAGCTTTGAGTAAGATTTGCTTATGATCAGCAAATATAAAAATGTACAGTGGATATGGGATGGAATGAAAGATGACATTGATCTTTTTTTTTTTTTTTTATAAAATCAAACTCGTTGAGTTGTAACTATGTAAGGTCGAAGCTTTTGACTCTGGATCCTCTATTACCAGCATTCCTGAAAGATCGAGAAAATAATAAGCTATAAGATTCAATCGCTTTGATACATTATGAAACGCTAATATCGACATTGCAATGAAATTTTATACATAGTTATTAAAAATATTTTGAGCCTAAAAAAATAATAGCATTTGAGAGTGAATATTATCTAAATGAATAAAATAAATTCGAACTGTACCTGCTATACTTGCGGTAAGAAAACAGACAGCGATACCACCTACAAAGGCCCGAATGACCGTTCCGGAAATAGCATCCTTCTTTTCATTAGCCATAGCTGACAGGCTTCCAACGCAGACGCCAAGAGAGCCAGGGTTCGAAAAGCCGCTTATGGCGTAAGTGGCGATCGCTTCAGCCTTGGGGGAAAATCCTATAGTTTTCTTGATTTCACCGAATCTCTGAAATGCGACCAACTCGTTCACTACAGTTTTCAAGCCTATCAACGAGCCTACGGTCTCACATTCTTCCCAAGGCACGCCAATGACGTAACTAATGGGGGTAAATATTTTTGCAAGAATTATCTAAAAATATAAAGTTGTACTGGTTAATAATGCAACTTTTTTAGTTAATTTTTATTGTAAATAAACGAATAACCTCAAAAGTCAATGCTGGATATCCTAAAAGAGTACCAAACCATGCAAGAATGGCGTTTAAGAAAGCGACAGCCGCCACGAACGCTATTACGTTTGCAATGCAGCCTAAAACCAATGGAATAGCTGACAAAGCTCCATCAGTCGCCGCATCTAAGAAAGTTGTTTGGCGACTAAAATGTATGTAAGCAGTAACACTTAATTTTGAAACGACAATTTATTACAGATTAGTCCAAAATATCGACGACTCACGCTTTCTTCAAAACAATGTTATTGAACTGGGTAGAGCTCTTTTTGGTTTCTGGGTACAACAATTTAGCGAAAGACAATCCTGCTGGTGCTGACATCACCATAGCGGTTATCAAGTGCATTGGTTGGGCTCCGTATGATATGTAAGCCGCTAAAACAGTCCCTGAAAAAAAAAAAATTTCTTTATTGATAAATTGTTTATTATCAGAAAAATAACTCAAGGAAAGTTTGATAGTCTATCTACTTTAAACTTGCCTGATATAGTAGAAAAACAAGAACACATAATCGCATGTATTTCCGAATTTGTCAATTCGTTTAAATAGGGTTCAATCACAAGAAATGTTTCTGGCTGCATGAAACAGGTATGATACATAAATATAAAGATTAAAATAGACCAAAGACATGAAATATCAGAAATACAATTACCAATCCCAAGAACAAAGTAGTCGCTGCATGTAAAGATTCGCAAGCCGTGGTTCCTAGGGTTACACTCAATAGCCATCCAATTTTCTTAATCATGTACTGCATTACACCAAAATGGTATAAAATAGAAACTACGAAGCTAAAGAAGACGATGACAGGCATGACCTGAAAGTCAATTTAAAAACTCATGATATAAAAAATAACAGTACTCATTTTGTACTCTTAAGATCACTTCATCAATAATTTACTAACGGTAAAGGCAAAGATACCGTTGTCAACTAGTTTATCCGAGAATACGAACTTGGCACCATCCTTCGCGAAGTCGAGAAAAACAACTATTTTTTCCGATAAACACTGGAAAATTGACCTACCTATTGGCCATCTTGTAAATATGATTGCAAGGACATATTGAAAAATTAATCCCCACACTACCGGCTTCCAACTGACCTACGGATTAAAGATTTGTCATTGTAATATACTAGTAGATCTAAATATTTTACTTGTAACACAATACTCCTTACTTTTGTCGGGTATTTGGAAATACCCCAGCCTATTGCCATTATTGCAATGATTCCAATAAGGCCTATGAGTCTATCGCGCGATTCTCTCGTGTCAATTACCAGAAAAATAATAATTGCAAGTGAAATTGTGACACAAACGCCGATCTCGATCATTTGGCTGATCATTCACATGCAATGTAATATCTACATTAATTTTTCACCTAGCATCAATTTGAACATTATGAAAATGATCATTTAAAGCAATTCTTACCCACTATTTTTGTAGTTAACTAAATTAAAACGTGCACAGCAGGTTTTTTTTAATGCATTACAAAGATGTTTTTCAAAAATATGCACATAAAGTAATCTACCGTAGATACTAGTATAAATCAACAGTAGCAAACCATATCCATTACACCAATTGAATCCTGTATCTTCTTCTAAAAATGAAAAATTAGAAAACTGATTTTTTGCCATATAAAATACATTAATACTAACTTTTTGTTTTCCACGAATAAGTAGCTGCTGCAAAATATGCAACAGCAACTATATGCACTACAGCTAAGCGACAATATTTAAAAAATACTGGGTGACTGCTAACAAAGCGTTGATAAACATTTTCTTCTTTTTCTCCATCCATGTCAATACTGATATTTTTCTCCTTAGAAAAATTATTTATAATTGAAAACGTTTGTTTATATGTTTACATCTACGTGTCCACGTAAAATAGTAGACAGGCGTACAGCCTAGCACTACTGAGCTCAAATCTTTATCGTATTGTATGGGGAAACCATAAGGTATTAATATAAGGACGTCAAGTGTAATAACTAATAAATAAACATCACTCACTTGGAAATCAGTTATGCTAGGGGTTCCTTCAACTTCTTCTTTGTCTTTTACACCTTCCTGAAAAAACTTATTGATTTTTTCATTCTCAAATTTTTTAATTACTTTATATTCGATAGCATCACTTAATTTTGATGATCGTTTCTCACGTTGTTTTCCATGTTTGCTTAAAAAATTTCGGATCGTATGACTTTTTTTCGCCGTTTCTCCATAAGAATAGACAACTATCATTTGCTGATAAACTGAGATTCATTTGTTATTTATTAGAATTTTTAAATCATAATAGTCTTCATTAAAGTGCTTTGAACTTTGTTAATTCAGTAGATTGATATCTTACACACTCGGATATCACTGTGAAATTTATTTTTGATGTTTGGTGCAGACTTGAATGAGATTATCAAATCGATATCTTCATTTCGTCGATTTTTATTTGCATCTCGCATTCGTGCATTCTCCACGAACCGAAAAAAATATATACCTATCACACATAAACTAAATTGTTGATACAAAATAGAAACTCCTTATTGAAATTACTTACGCCTGTACACACCAAAATCGTTTTCCTCAACAATAGAGATCAGCGATATGTAAAATTTAATCCGTAGGTGTATCGACAAGTGCTCGAAAAATTTCAATAGGCAGCTACGTTCACTTTCAATATTTATTGTTTTCCAGGTAAGAGCCGGACTTTTGAAACAAAAAAGAGGGCCGTATAATTCGCTGTCCTCGACCGCCCACGAAAATCTGAAATTGAAATGTTCTAGCAAGCACCCGCGCGTCGAGTCAAAGCGCAAAAGATATTACCTAGCGATACAAGTAGACGCTTCGTTGACTTCCTTTGATGAAAAACTGCGGTTGCGCACTCGCGCGTGCAAACATCCGTATCTACCCGTCGAACGTAGGACAGTAATTCTCTGGTTTCAAAGTCTCTGATGTATTTAATCACTCCCACGAATCCAGAATACGTGTTATCTTAGTCAACCGACTCGTAAATCGTATTGAAACAAGGAAATTTTAGTAGGCGATATTTTTCTATGTTGAAATACTGGATGCGTTTGAGTTACTTTAATGAATTTTTGGACATAATTAACAAAGAAAACTGCTCTCAATTGTTTGTGAAATCATCGCCAAAAAATCTTTAATACTACAAAGTTACTCATTGCTCCTCACGTTCTGCATTCCTTATCTGTTGATTTAATGATAACTAAAATTTTTATTACGTAATTTATCAGTTGTCATTAGAGAACCACGCCTCTGATTGTTTTTAAAAGAATCGAGCGATCAAAGACATTTTCTGCGCAGAACCAAGAGAGAGTATCTCGTGACAAATACTTTACCCCGTGAACATTTTCGCTGGAATAAAAAAAAAAAAAAAAAAAAAAAAAAAAAAAAAATTGCTAACCACGTAAAAAAAAAGATCTGATGAGAGTCTCGTCGGTGTAACTCTAGGTTGGCTATCCAATGGGATAAAATTTAAAAAGCTATCACACAAGCTCAGCAGCTTCCATTAACCGGTACGGAAAGTCAAAACTGCGCTATTTCGATTAGTTTCCTGGATACACTGCTCTCTTCTTCGTGGCAAACAAGGTCTCGGGTGGATGACGACGACGAAAATTCATCATCGAAAAAACAAATGCGGACATGCTTCCGAGCCTCCGTGTTACTGGAGCACCCCGATTTGGCACGTGGACAAAAATTTCCTTTTTCCTCCCCATTTTGCTGTATCATTTATTGAGAAATTTTCACTTTCACGCAAAGAGGTTGACTGTACTAGTAGACGAAGGGTTAAGGGTCAGAGAAAAATCCATCAGCGTATAGATAAAATTATGATTTTATGGGTGTACCGTAGCTTATATTTGTTTTCATTGATTAAAAATAACAAGAACCGAAAAAGGGTCCAAGAAGGATGAGAAAAAAAAGTATGGAGGTATGTATTATTCCTTCTGTTTTTCTGACTTACAGAAACAAAATCTATTGGACAGGAAGAAAACGAAAAAGTCGGTCACGTGGTCTCGTTTCTGCTTGTATGGCTCACGTTTCTTCCCTAGTGAAGGTGTGCGCCTTTGCTCATTTCTCCCGTACCGAATCGAATATGCTTTAATTATCAGTATCTACACATGTGCATAACAAAATTCACTGTAACTCAGGGAAAAAAAATTTGTTTTTCAATTAGTACTATTGGTACCTTACAGTAGCCAAGTATATACATTAGCTCATGTATTTGTGTTAAGTTATACTAAAACGGACAATATTTTAAAAACTATCAGTGAAAAATTTTTTTTAATTACGAAACAAATTTATAGTTAATACTCGTTAGGTATATTTAATTACTGACAATTGGTGTCAAATGTACTTTTAAAAAGTTCAATTGAAAAAAAATATGGGACAAAGTTCTAGAAATGGACGATTACCACGACGTTAAACCACGAATTTTAGCCTAGTAATTCACTTTTTTTTATTACAAATACCTGATCAGTAAATAAAACGACTTAAAATATTTTATTCGCATTTATTATTCTTTTCTGTATTTCTTTTTAACAGAATGGTATTTTTAATTTCATTCACATTGAATTCGGAAAAAAACGTGTGACTTTCTATAACCTACTATAATTAAATAATATATAAATATTATCCCGTACTAGAGTTAATTTTACGTGAAAATTCTTTCAGTGTGACTTAGGCAATTTGTTACATCTTCATGTAGAGGTGCATGAATTGAAAAAAAAATTTTTTATTTGCAGATTTTTTAGTGGCTGATCCTCCATGAGTCTTGTGATGGACATCTAACCTACAGGGGGGCATCACTATCAAAATGGCAATAAT